ATTCATCGATGCTTGCTCTCCAGATGCAGAGATTCTGACTCAATCGGTCTGGGGTGCGGCCAGGACATGGAGATTTTTTTTAAGTTCGCCTGGTGATGCTAATTTGCAGCCAAGGTTGAGGACTCCTGGACCAACAGAATAAAGGATTTAGCAGAAGGAAAGGAAAAGAAGCTGGTGGTCTTGGGTGCCCCCTGCTGGTGGGAAGCTGTACATACGGTCTTCTGGAGACCTCAGAAGTTGGTGGAAATGCCAGCCCACGTGGGCTTCGGACCAGTCCACTGCACATCTCTGAAGTCCGGTTGACGTGTGCCCAAGAAATGCCCTCTCAACAGAAATGCCTATTTAAATCCCTAATTCCAGTTCAAAGCTATTACTTGGATGTTTCCAGTTATCATTAGCTCACACACATACCCCCCACCCCACAACGCACAGACCACACTACTTGTAAGCTATGTAACAAACCCTCATATTACACTTACTATGTGCCATCCATGGACCGACCCCTTCATAAGTAACTGCCCTTTGAAGTCATTACTATTATTATTTACTGTTTGCTAATGGGGAAACTGAGGCACAGAGAGGGTAGTCGTTTGTCTCAACTATTAAGTGGAGGAGCCGGGGTTTAAGCCACAGCAGCTGGCTCCAAATCTGTGGTCTTAACCACATCGTCACATTGCTGTCTCTAGTCATGATGCTCTCTGCCCTGTGCACTGTGATATCACATAATCTAGCGTCTGTTACATGCCAGACACAATATCCCCTTTCTACCCAAGAGGAAACTGAGGCTCAGGGGGCCCCAGCCTGAACTTCCACTGTTTGGGATGGATCTTAGACCTCACAGTTTCCCAGACCCACAGTCAGGCACTGCAGTAGCTCAGAGATCTGGGTTCAAATCCCGCTCCCGCCCCATTCCAGCTGTGTGACTTTGGGCAAGTCACTTCCCCTCTCTGAGCCTCTATTTCCCCATCAGAAAAAATGGACGTGGTACCCATTTCTAAGTCATAAAGATGCCCCATTCCACGCTGTCATCGAACACCCCTTTCACTTGCCATGAGGATTCTTTAAAGGGGAAAATATGTGTATTATTATCTTAAGTGGCTGTCATCTAAATTCACAAAAATACTCCTTTAAGGAGTCAAAGGTCCATCCTGCAGATGTGTTCAGTAAGGCGGAGTGATGGGAGACACTTCCCCACCCACACACAGCTGTATCACTATCGGCACCAACGGCTGGGAACTGAACTCAGTCTATTCAGTTCTTTCTGGAATAATCCATCTGAGCTAAACCTGTCCTTCTGATGTGCTGATGCTCAAAGCTCTATTACAACCTCATAATCACTAGGATAGCTATAACTTTTTCAAAAACCAGAAAATAACAACTTTGATGAAGACATGGAGTAAGTGAAATCTTCTACATGGCTGGTGGGAATGTAAAATGGTGTTGCCACTATGGAAAGCAGTATGATGGGCCCCCCAAAAATTAGAAATAAGAGTACCATACCATCCAGCAATCCGACTCCTGGGTACACACCCAAGAGAATTGAGAGCAGGGTCCCAAAGAGACATTTGTACACCCATGTTCACAGCAGCATTACTCACAATAGCCAAGAGATGGAAGCAACACCAGTTTCCATTGATGGGTGAATGGGTTAACATAAAATGGTATTTACTTATAGTGGAATATTAATCAGCCTTAAAAAGGAAGGAAATTCTGACGCACACTACAACATGGATGAACCTGGAGGACATCATGCTCAGTGAAATAAGCCAGTCACTAAAAGACAAATACTGTGTGATTCCACTTACGAGAGGCCCCCAGAGGAGTCAAATTCATAGAGACAGAAAGTAGGGTGCTGAGTGCCAGGGCTGGGAGGAGTCCTTGTTTAATAGCTTTTTCAGTTTCATGAAATGAAATGTTTCAGTGCTTGGGTGCACAGCAATGTGAATGTGCTTAACATTACTGGACAGTACACTTATCAGTGGCTAAGATGGTAAATTTCATGTTTATTTTACCACAATTAAGCTCTTCTTTAATTTTTTAAAAAAGTGTGATATCAGTAAACCCTCCAAAAGATAAAGAAAACAAATATCTGATTACATTGTCACTATAGCTATTTTTTTTAAACATGAGGGAGAAAACCATTCCAGGCAAAATGCTTATTCTTATTCTCTAGGCAAAAATATTGGAAAACAGAAAGGCTGTGCACCAAAGCGTCAATCAGGTCTCCTCTGAGCAGGAGCATCGGAAGGTCAGAGGCAGAGTCCTTTCTTCTTTGCTTTATGTAAGTTTTAAGAGGTGAGATCATGGGTGGCTTCACTTTCTCATGTTGTGTATTTCAGCCTTTCTAGAATTAAAAAGGAAAATTGAAAACCGACTTTGAAAGTGATGGAGAGACCCTTCAGCTGTTCAGAGAACAAAGGATAAGCAATATGGCTTCTACACCCTGGACCATTCACGCATGTGTTTCATCTCTTTTTTAGGAACGTCCCACAAGACTGGAGACGAGATAAAATAACACTGTTTGTGCCTAGTCACAGACTTTCTATGGGACCTATTATTTTCCATTTAATTACATGCATAACATTCTGTCGGGAGCCGGTCTCCAGGCTTAGCTACCACTGCAGTGTGACAAGGTCTGGCAGTGGAGTGAGAATGTGCAAGTGGCTTCTCAATGGAAATTAGGGAAAGTGCACAATATCTATATGCACTATGCTCTTGCATCTATTTTTCCTTTTCTGGAATTGCTGGGGGGTGATGAGAAGTTCTGCTGGTCAGCTTCCTCCTTCCTCCCCTCATAAAGTAGGTCAGAGGAACATTGGTTGGCCTCCCGTAAGAGGAACCTGGCCAAATCAGGAAATTTTTATAGGAGGAAAATGGTCTATGCTCCCCTTAACTGTAGGAAGACACAAACGGCAGCCAGGTACATATAGGGGCCCTCATACGAAGAGACATAGACCTACTTTAAGTCCAGAGGACTTGATGTGAAAACATCATGAAACTTTGGTCAGAGTTAATTGGGACTATGATGAAGATTGGGTCCCCCATAAGTGGAAAGGAAACAGAAGAATTACACCTGAGGATACAACATATTGAGATAGTATGAATGCACGGTGAGGAGATCCTAGAACATGGAATCCATATACAATGAAACATCTGTGTAGGCTGTATTGCAGAGACCCAGAAAGGGCACATACGGCCACAGAAGGCCCATGGTGGAATTGGAGGAAAGAAGGGGGGCAATGCAAACCTTACTGCCAAACACGTTCCTGACCCTTGAAAGACAAGCAAACAAGTCCAACCTTTAAAGTTCACTTTATTAATAGTTATGCCAGCTATATTTGACATGTATATTCAGTTGTTTGCAAGACATCTTATACTTTCCTTTGTATACCATACTCTGCGCCCTTGAAACCACTTGTTACTTACCCCACAGACAATTTATTGCTTGCCGGACATGCGATGTCTAGATAATGTCTAAGTGGTAAAGATTAGCTGGTGAGATAATATCACCTAATTGAACCTTATGTAACCTGGACCCTTTGTAAGAAAAGCAGATGCTCATATTAAATAGACTTGGAAACCTCACTCCTTGTCTCACTGCATCTCTCTCTCGCCGACTCCGTCCATCCCTTCAGGAGACCCTGGACTCAGCTGGGGCTGGATCCCGGCAACATTCCATTATTGAAAAACCATTGCAGAGATTTTCGTGTTAAAAATATGAAGCAGAAAGAGAAAGGGGAGAGAAATCTTATTGCACGGGCTTAGACACACTTTCAGATCTGAAGCCATCCCATGTTCCAGGGCCCTAAGACAAGGATGGCCCTCCCTGCCACATATTCCATAAAAGATCACTAAATTTTTGGTATGATATTGAATTACTAAACACACTATCCCAATAACAATTGAAATTCTTGTTGAAAACAATGACATAAGTTTTATTAAGTTCCAAATTTCCCTTAGGTGACACACAAGTCCTGGAGATGGGTTTTATTCTCCCCTTGGCAATAAGGAACACAAGGAGAGAATGCATGAGATTGACACACATTCCACATATAGGGGATGAAAGACTCAGGACTCAGACGCTGATCCCTTTATCTGTGCACCAGGGCTCTGTGTTCGCCACCACAGCTGATGAATGGTTCTCTTTTCAAACCTACTTTGGCCTCAGAGCTAAAATTGAGGTCAAAGAATTGATTTCTCCTCTGCGGGTTAGTGAGCTTCCCTGTGAATATGAGAGTGAGCCACTGGTTATAGGGGACATCATGGCACAGAAATTGTGGTTTATAGGGTTTTCTATGAATGCATTTCACAATTCAGTTTGCAAGTCTGAGATTGAAAATATTTGCTATAGAAGATGAAAATTTCATGTGTGCTAAATATTAAATATGTATTAAATACAGATTAAATATATTTAAATGTATTAACTATATATTCAAAATATATTAATCTAAAATAATAGATGGAATAAAATGATGTCCCTCCCTCAGCTGATGCATCAGTTAAAATATCTGAAGTACATGTGAATACCTCACGCAGAGATTTAAACACTATGTTATGATAAACAAGGACATTTTGAGGGTAACACGTGTAGCATACGGTTTAGATAAGCATTTCAGGAAACTGCTTATGCATACATAAATCAATTATCGAAACACTGACAGGAAAATGCACCACCAAATTCATGACTCTGGCTGCTTTTGGGGGTCAGGTATGCAGAGGAATAGTATTATGCAAAGATACTGCGAAAACTCAAATTTTATCAGTAATATTCTTCATATAGAGAGATTCTAATTAAATCGCTTCTAGGCTAAAATGAGGGCATCAGTATACATGAAAAAAATCCACAGATAAATCTATTGATTTACTAGGAATGAGAAGCACGAGTCTAAGCAATTTAAATAATTTTTTTAAACTTTCTTACACCAATTTTATAAACTAGGTTCAATTTTCCCCCTATTTACAGTTGAGAAACCTGACCAGAGTTGTTTACCTTACTATCTTTACTTTTCTCCTTTGCAATTTTTCCTGATTAAACCATAGTTTGACTTGCCAAAATAATGAACCTGAGTTGCCTTCAGGTAGCCAAAGTAAGAGAATTGCAATCCTTGGATCACTAAGAATTAAGAGGAAAATTTGTTAACAAGGCATAAAAAGGGTGGGTCTTAAATATGGCTTGAATGTCTCTCCTGGCTCTAAACTCCTTAACCGTAAATAAGAGGGTTTACAATCAGAAAAACAATCAATCAGTATTGCCAGGTACAACAGAGTGAAAAAAAAAAAGGTAAATAGTGGTCTCGCACACCACTATTTGGGGTTGATGCAAACAATTTTATACAAAATTAAAAATTCAAGAGGTTTTCTCAAAATTTCGTTATTGTCTCATCATTCACAGGTGCATTGAACAATAATGTCATCATTGTGGTCAGCAGAGCTGTATGATTATATAGAGTTAACCAATCTACACTTTATCAAATGTTGAGGTTTATGAAAGCCAAGGATAAGAGTTACATATTAAATGACTTTTAAAAGATGGCCCACATATTTGAATGAGCACTTATTTCCAGGAAGAAGTGAAGTCAGAAAACCAAATAATGATGAAAACCCATGAAGGTAACTAGTACTTAAAAATGTTTTCTGAATATGTACACTCAAATTTCATTTCAAATCCAGCTAACATGATCTGGCACTTATAGAATGTTTATAACAGTTGTCAAAAAAGGGAATTTCTAGTGTTGCCTACAAATAAAATATATTAGACTGCTTCTTAATTTCCTTCAATTAGAATCATTTTATTTTCTTCAATGAGGAAGGATATTTCTTCTCTATGTTTTGTCTTAAAAGAATTTTGCCTCTATTTTACTGTGATCATGTTATTTGTAATGTTCTTCCTCATTTAACATCCTTTGGTCAAGCGTCTCTAATTTGGTGTGGATAGAAAGCGATGAGTAATACAGAAAAGTAATGAAAGAAGAGTACTATGAAGATTGAGTTTATCCCAACTGAGAAATATTGCTGAGTGTACTGGGGGGTGCATGGTCTTCAAGTGTGAATACTTTACTAGTGAAAAGCATAAATCCAAAAATATAGACACAGTCATAGTTGCCATTTTTCTTGTTTCCTTTCACCCAACACTTCTTTTCTTTAATCAAAAGGTGCCCAAGCTACATAGAACAACAAAACCTAACACATGTCTCAGAATTCCTCCTCATGGGACTCTCGGATGATCTGGAACTACAATCTGTTTTCTTTGGGCTCTTCCTGTCCATGTACCTGGTCACCATGCTTGGGAATCTGCTCATCATCCTGACTGCCAGATCTGACTCCCACCTCCACACCCCCGTGTATTTCTCTCCAACCTGTCCTTGGCTGACATTGGTTACTCTTCCACCACCATCCCCAAGATGACTGTGGACATCCAAATTCACAGGAGAGTCATCTCCTATGTGGGCTGCCTGACACAGATGTCTTTTTTTTTTATCCTTTTTGGATGTATGGATGGTATGCTCCTCACTGTGATGGCCTACGAGCAGTTTGCAGCCATCTGTCACCCACTCCACTATCCAGTCATCACAAACTCACACCTCTGTGGCTTCTTAGTTTTGGCGCCTTTTTTTATCAGCATATTGGAATCCCAGCCACACAATTTGATTGTGTTACAACTTACCTACTTCAAGGATGTGGAAATTTCTAATTTCTTTTATAATCCTTCTCAACTCCTCAACCTTGCCTGTTCTGATACCTCCACCAATGACGTAGTCATGTGTTTTGTTGGTGCCATCTCTGGTTTTCTCCCTATCTCAGGGATCCTTTTTTCTTACTATAAAATTGTTCCCTCCATTCTCAGAGTCCCATCAACAGCCGGGAAGTACAAAGCCTTCTCCACCTGTGGCTCTCACCTGTCAGTTGTTTGCTTATTTTATGGAACAGGCCTGGGGGTTTACCTCAGTTCTGCTGTTTCACATTCCCCAAAGAAGGGTGTAATAGCCTTAGTGGTGTACTTGTAAATATCTATGCACGCAACATAGGAGCACCTAAATATATAAAGTAATTATTAAAAGATCTGAAAGGAGAAATAAACAGCAATACCATAATAGCAGGGGACTTTAACATTCCACTTACAGCAATGGCTAGCTCATCCAAACAGAAGATCAAGAAGGAAACACTGGCCTTAAACAACACTTTAGACCAGATGGAGTTAGTAGATATATACATAACATTCCATCCAAAAACCGTAGAATACACATGCTTTTCAAATGCACATGGAACATTCTTCAGGATTGATCACATATTAGGCCACAAAACAAGCCTCAATAAAGTTAAGAAGATTGAAATAATACCAAGCATCTTTTCTGACCATAATGGTATGAAACTAGAAATTAACTACAGGAAGAAAAGCCACAAATATGTGGAGACTAAACAAAATGCTACTGAACAATGACTGGGTCACTGAAGAAATCGAAGGGGAAATCAAAAAAATACCTGGAGACAAATGAAAATGAAAATACGACATGCCAACATTTATGGGATGCAGCAAAAGTGGTTCTAAGAGAGAAATTTATAGCAATACAGGCCTACTTCAACAATTAACGAGAAAAAAATAATAAATGTTGGAGAGGATGTGGAGAAAAGAGAATCCTTATACACTGCCGGTGGGAGTACAAACTGGTGTAGCCACTATGGAAAACACTATGGCGATTCCTCAAAAAATACCATGTGATCCAGCTGTTCCAACACAGGGTATTTATCCAAAGAACATGAAATCAACAATCCAAAGAGATTTATGCATCCCTATGTTCATTACAGCATTACTCGCAATAGCCAAGACATGGAAGCAACCCAAGAGCCCTTCTAAGGATGAATGGATAAAGACAAGGGGGTATATACATACAATGGAAATGGGCCATAAAAAAAGATAAAACTTCCTATTTGCAACAACATAGATGGACCTTGAGGGTATAATGTCAAGCGAACGGAAACCACTCCAGACACTTCCACCCTCGTTCCTCACTTCTCTGCTTTCCCACCTCTCGTTTATTTCTACACTTGTGCCTTCACTGAACTTCACTATCCGGAAGGGCAGTTGGTTGGGGCCAAATCGTACTTCCCTAACCAAACTCACATGGCCCTGGACATCCGGGCTGAAGATCCTGAGCACCCAGTGCAGTAAAGGTCAAGCCCAAAGGTCAAGTCCTTCCCTGGACACTATTGACTAGGTTCTCCTCCTCCCTGCCCTCCACCCATCGGCCGTGCCCCCTTCTCCCCCACCAGTGCAGGCCGAGTCTCACCCCACCTTCAAGGGCCTGAGCTACAAAATGTTTGTCACGACCGAAGTGGCCCAGAAGCACCTCTGCCCACTACTACCTCCCCTTTCTCCCTGTCACAGAGATTTTCATCATCAGCACTGTTCTCCACCAAAAGGAACCAGGGCTCCACGCAGGGCACTGACCCCTGGGGGACGAAAAGTCAAGTTGGCTCCAGAATGTCCCATTGTTGCCAGAAAGCAACACTAACCATTGTGAGAGTTTGCTCTCTGCAATACTTAAGGAGTTTAAAGCATTTAAGGAAAGCTAAATGGTAAAAGGAGTTTGGTTAAATTTACAATCAAAATTTCAAATTTTGAGAAATAAATTTTGATTTATGAGATGTATATGAAGTATGGGAAAATGTTGCTTGTTCAGTGCTTAAAGGAGTGATAACTGTCGGATGAATTCACAAGAACTGACCAATAAATCGAGCCCCATCTTCTCCCCACATGGGACCCTCTCAGCCATGACTGGAACCAACAGCTCTAAGCTTCCCACACTGTCCTCTCTCACTGACCCCAGACCTGGGTCTCCTGCTCCAACTGTGAGTCTCAAATGTCGTCACACTCCACCGGACCAAGACCCAAGTGGGCGTCTTGTCGCCCCTGCTACCCACCTCCCTGCGGCCTCTGCTCTCTCACCTTCTTCTCCAGGGCTTAGGGCACCAGGCTTCTCTCTCTCTCTCTCTCTCTCTCTCTCTTTCTATCCCAAAGCCTTATGCATTCCTTTGTCTGCATTTTCACTAGTTAGCTCATAAATATTTGGGGGCCTCAACAATGTTCCAGGCACTGTGCTGGGGACTGAGGATATGCCACAAACAATGGAGCCAACTGTAACCTGCAGGGTGGTGAGGGCAGCTGGGGAGTGGAGAACAGCCGAGAGAGGGGATCAGAGGGAAGAGCAGGCAGCCCAGGCCAAGACTCCACCAGGCAGGCAGAGCTGCAGCAGCCAGGAAAGCAGAGGGAGCCGGGCCCGAGAGGCTGGGAATGGCCACTGCAGGTGCCTTCAGTTTCAGATGGGGCCGTGTGGAGCCCAGAAACATCTGTCTGAGGACTGCCCACTGGTTTTGGCCACGTAGGGAGAGCAGCATCAGTGTGACAGTATGAGGACAGAGGCTGAAGTGGGCTGGGGAAGGTGAAGAATGATGCTAGCGTGCATAGCCAACTCTCTCAGGAACCAGGGCTCTGCTGAGGGGAGAGTAGGACAGGTGGAGTGGAGGACCATGATGTTAATGGATGTTTGTTTTGTTTTGAAGATGAGAGAGACACGAACATGTGTAAATGATGAAAGGAAGAAATGGTAATCATAATAACAACAGAGAGGACACTTACTAGTATGAGCCACTGTTCTATGTGTCTTACACAAATTAACCCATGCTACCTTCTTTTACAGATGGGGAAACTGAGGCACCAGGTGGCTAGGTAACATACCAAAGATCTCCCTGTTGCTATGTTGTGGAGCTGTGATTTAAGTTTAAGGTCCAATGCCCTTGCTATATCAACTACTAAGTGGCCCCAGCAGACATTGTTGTCAGGCATGGAGGCAGGAAGGAAACGAAATTGAGGTGTGTGAAGAACACCTGAAATGGGTTCGGCAGAATATGGGAAAGAGGGCCTGCTGAAAAGAGAAGACCACACTTAGGTTTCTTAAGGCTGGAGATCCTGGATTGGGAGAGCCTCATTCTGAGCAGTGGAGGGAGGGCAGGCCTATGGCCTGACCTGGGGCTGAAGAAGCACAGGATATGGGAAGGGACCGTGCTGCCCAAGAGAGGCTGAAATGATGGACTGAGGCTGGAGAGAGAAGACAGGCAGACCACAGGGGGCTGACGAGTAAGGGCTGAGCAGAGGAGTCACAGGGGAGCTGGGAACGAAATATGGGTGGGGTGGAGTGACTGAGTGGTGACTAGAAGGATGGGAGGTGTGGGGACAGAGGGCTCCTCTGTCCTTTCAGCTGTCTCATTGCCTCCAGCCCTGCCCTCATCAATGTGGCCCACTACAGTCTTCCTAAAACAGCTCTGAGTCAAGTCATCATCCTGCTGAAGGAAACCCATGGCCAAGACGTTCACTTTAACCACTTCAACTCAACATTCTACCAGAGGTCCAAGACACTGCAGTAAGAAAAGAAAAAAGAGTAAAGCCATGCATGTTGGAAAGGAAGAAATGAAACTGCCCTTACTCTCAGATACATGATTTTCCACATAGGATCAACAAAAAAGTGAGTCTAGCAAAACTGCAAGATCCAAGTCCAATATATAAAATTCCATTGTATTTTCTTATAATAATAAACAAACGGAAAGGAAATTTTAAAAAATTTATAATAGCACAAAATACCATGAAGTACTTAGAAAAAATCTAACACAGTGTATGCAAGATCCATATACTAAAAACTACAAAACACTACGGAAAGAAATCAGGATCAACATAAAGAATTGGAGAGGTATCCCACGTTCATGGATTCAAAACTCAATATTCTTAAAATTTCAAATTTCCAAATTGGTCTATAGGTTCAATGAAATCCAAATGAAAATCTCAGCAAACATTTTTGTAGAAATTCACAAGCTGATAATAAAATATATATGGAAAATCAAAGGAATTAGGATACCCAGAAGAACTTTGGAAAAAAAACACAAAAAAGATGGAGATCTCATATTGTGTGATTTCAAGACTTAATAGAAAGCTACTGAGGAAGACAGTGTGACACTGGCAAAAGAACAGAGTTCAGAAATACTCCCATACCTGTATAGTCAATTGATTTTTGACAAATGTTCAAAGGCAACCCAATGGAAAAAGGATTTTTTTAAACAAATGGTGTTAGCACAACTCATACGCAAAAAACCATAAATCTTGACCCATACCTTGCATCAGGTACAAAATTTAACCCACAATGAATCAGAGGCCTGAACAGGAAATCTAAAACTATAGAACTTCTAGAAGAAAACATATGAAAAAATATTTGTGGCCTTGTGTTAGGCAAAGATTGCTTAATTACAACACCAGAAATACAATCCATAAAAGAAAAACTGATATGGCACTTCACCAAATTTAAAACTTCTGATCTTTGACAAACACTGTAAAGGAAATGGGATAATAAGCAAAAGTCTGGGGAAAATATTTGCAAAACACATATCTGAATCCAGAATATATACAGAACTCTTAAAACTCAATAAGAAGAAAACAACACAATTTTCTGGAATGGTCAAAAGATTGGAACAGACATAAAATCACAGATATACAGACGGTAAATAAGAAGATGAAAAGATGCTCACCATCATTAGTCATTAGGAAGATGCAAATTAAAACCACAATGAGATACACCAAACATTTGTTAGACTAGCTAAGATGGGAAAACAAAAAACATAAAAAAACCTGACAGTGCCAAATGTCAGTGAGGATGCAGAAGCAACCAGAATTCTCATATATTGCTTGTGGGAATGCAAAATGGTACAGGCATTTTGGAAGACAATTTGGCAGTTGCTTACAAAGTTAAACATTCAGTTACCATATAACCCAGCAATGCCTCTCTTAATGTATTTACCCAAAAAGAAGGGAAAACTTTATGTTCACGGGCCTGTACACAAATGTTTATGGCTGCTTTTTTACAATCACCAAAAACTGGAAAGAACCCAAATGTCCTTCAACTGACAAATGGATAATCAAGCTGTGGTATATCCATATGATGGAATAGTACAAAGCAAAAAAAAAAAAAAAAAGGTAAATTTTACTGCATGTAAAAAAAAAAAAAAAATCCTGCCACGGTTCGCAGGTTTCCAGGCACGAAAACTAAATTCTCCACCTGACTTTCTGGGCCTTTTCAAGCTGGCCATTTGATTTCCCATCCACTTTCTGTTCCAATTACAACTGTCTCCTCACCGTCCTCTCAACAGCCTGCAGACTCTGGGTCTTCCCCGCCTTTTTGCAAGCTGTGCCGCTCACCTGCAATGCCCTCCCCTCTGCCCTCTGCCCTCTGCCCTCTGCCCTCTGCCCTCTGCCCACCCAAAACCCTCTCCACTGGCGGTTCTCTCTGACCTCTCTGTTCCTCCTGAGTCCGTGCTGCACAGCGTAGGGCAGGCCCTCTCTCAGTGTTCATGGGCGTCTGGCGGGGGTTATTCTGACTTCAGGTTCCTTATCAACACAAGCGCAGGATGGAGCCTCACTCACCTCCCCGCCCAGCGCCCAAAATCATGCACCTGCGGCCTGGCACACAGGACACCTTCGACCTGAGCTGAATCTGGGTCTGAAGGGCAACGAAGCACCTTCGATGGAAGTGAAGCATGACAACCAGGGTGCCGCAGAAACAGCGGAAAGTGCAGACGGAGGTCCGGGAGGGGCAAGGTGACCGCCCACAGCCCCGTGTCGTGGCGCCCCCCGGGCCCGCTTACCTTGCCCTCGTGGGAGCCCTGGGCCGCGCTCACCGACCTGACCTTGATTAGCAGCAGCACGAAGTGAAGCAGCAGGAAGCCGGCGGCGGGTATGGCCGCTAGGATGCCGCCCACGAGCTAAGAACAGCGCCGCCAACCGTCCTCCGGGGCCCCGCCCCTCACCCAGACTCCGCCCCAACGGCCGCGCCCACGAGCGGAGGGTCTACCCGCTCCCTGCGCTCCAGCCCCAGGTAAACCTCATCCCATCCTGCTGTCCAGGCCCCCGGGCTGCCTCCATCCAAGACCCTGCTAGATCCTAGACTCTCCCCCAGAGCCTCCTCGCCCCGTCCATGCCCCCGACCCTACCACCATCCCCTCCTCCCAGGCTGGTTCTCCCCGGCGGCTTCTCTCTCGAACCCCGCCCACCACTCGCCTAGCCCCCGTGACCCAGCCCATTGTTGTCCCCACCCTGCCCACCGCTCCCCAAGGGGGCTCCGCAGCCTGGTTGATACACGATGATCTTGTCCGTGGTGAATGGCAGGTGAATCGTGCGCACCAGGAAGATCAGGCAGGTGACCAGCATGGCGTCCGAGTACAGGCATAGCGACTGGACCAGCAGCATGAAGACGCGGAAATTGCTGTGACGGATGCAATTATTGACCCACTTGCGGTGGTGGTCAAATTCCTGGGTGAGAGGGAGAGTGGGCGCCGTCGAGGACCCGACCTCTGGCTTAGCCTCCATCGCCCCTAAACCTGAGCCTTACCCTAGACCCCTAGGCCATCAGCCCCTGGTCTCCAGCGCTGTCTCCCTTCCCCCCGAGAAACTAAGCTAAAAAGTCCCTATTGCTGGCATTTCCGTGGCTAGAGCACTTTAGGGCTCTGTGGCTCAAGGTCACCTGTCAAGAGGGCTCTAGAGACAAGATATGCCTGGCCTTCTGTGGCACCTCAGCAGGACTTCTGTTTTCTCCTCCACTGAATGAGAGTAATAATGACACCCCCAATCCCCCAGCCTCCCAGGGTTGTAAGAAGCAGATAAGACAGCACATTTGCAAACCTTGGCAGGCTCTGCACACAAGGGAGACAAACTCTCAGAACCCAGGAGTTTGTCTGGCCTGGACCCAAGAGAGGACAGGCAAATCTCCCTAGGCCAGTCCTACAGTCAGCCAGAGGGCCCTTGAGCATCTAATGTCAGCGAGCCCTGGGGTGGGACAAGGGTGTCTTTCCCCTCCCTGGCCTGACCAGGCCAAGCATAGACATGGATGCACCTGTGCCTTTCAGCACCTGGGCAGGCAGGGGCCAGCCTCCCAGGTCAGATGCAGGCACAGAGGCAGTGACCTGAATGAGTGACCAAGAGTGGCTGGGAGTTACTGCCACCCTTGGCCTTTAGCAGTGGTTTCAAGCCTGCCACTGGCCCCCCCGTGGAAGTGGGCCTCCTGGTCCCAACCAGGTGATGGGGGGTTGGGCGAGGGCAGGTGGGCAGATGGGAGGGGCGCTCACCTCCACACAAATGTTGCACCAGGGGATGTGGTAGGTCCGGAGTGGGCGGAGGAAGCAGCACTTTGGGCACCACTGCAGGAGGAAGGCCCTGTGGTTCACCCACACCACAGGCGCCATCATGGGGCCAAGTTCGTTGGAGCCTTGCATGGGAAGAGAACTGGGCAGCAACAGCAGCCCTCCCATCACTGTGCTGCTGGTGGGGGTGGGGGTACCCCCGCCACATCACAGGGCTCCAGGAAGGGTGGGGAGGAGGTGGGCAGGGGAATCCCTGGTCCCCACTCAGTGGACTGACCACACTCAGAGAGGCTGGCAGTCCACAGGAAGGTAGTTTCCAGCCAGAGGAGCTCTGTGAGGACACAGGCCTTTGAAACTGGGATTGATGCTTTAAGGAGTGCATGCAGTGGGAAGGAAGAAGAGAACTGAGTGGTTGCCAAGAGCTGGCTTCTCTCCCTGGTCTGCCCCGGGCTTCCCCCACCAAGGCAAATGGAAACCTCCAGAATGCTGTTTTTCCACATCCTGGTGGCTTGGGAAATGAAGCGCCAGAAGCAGGGCCCAAGCAAATGAGGTTGTGTGGGGAAAGGGTCATGAGACCCAAGGATGGGAGATGGGGGAGCACGTTAGGAATCATCCTTGCAGCCAGGAGCCTGTAGGCTGCTACCTCCTTCTCCCAGGGAGCTGAGAGCTCACCTTGATGCAAGATGCCAGGGTCTGACAAGTGGAGGGAAAGGAGACTGCAGAAGGTGAGGACGAAGAGGGGGCCTGTGAAAATGGGATAGACCCACTCCCCGTTCTGGGCCAGCCATCTGCAACTGAGACCAGAGCAGGACTCAGCCCTGATCTTGGGGTCCCAGAGCTCCCCCCAGGACTCAGTCCACCTGGTCAGGACTCACAGACCTTAAAGTCTGCTCTAAATATCCAGGCTAGTGACAGATCCTCAGAGGCTCCGCCACCACCAGCTGCCGAAGGCGCCAAGCACTCTGTGCCTCAGTGCCTTTGCACCTTCGAGTCCCTCTGCCTAGAATATCCTCCTTTCCCTGACCCCTCTTCTGTACTTCCCCTGCTCCATACCATGATCTTTGTTCCCTTCTGTCTGTCAGAAACCTGCCGGCTTGTGTGGGAGACTCACGGGAATGCGAAGCAGAGGCCACTGACAACGAGCAGCAGCACTACATGGAAGGCGGCGAACAGGCTTGCAAGCATCCAAGGAAGTGGGCCCTGAGGCCTGCCATCCTCTGAGAGTGGCATGGCTGGGCCCCCTCTGCCCACAGGCGCCCTCCCCAATCCTGGCTCCAGGAGCCCTGTGTCCACAGCGACCGCTGAAGCCATAGTAAGCGCTGAAGCCACAGCCCAGGGTGGAAGGCAGAAGTCTCACTGTGATATCACAGAGGCTGAGGAGAATGTGGGCTCAGGGCTCTGAAGCCTGTGACCAGCCCTTCCACCAGCCACCCCTGCCAGCCCCTCTTGTGCTGGGGACTGAGAGGTCCTGTCCCGCCATGTTGGCTTCGAGACCTCATGAGAGTAGAGAAGCACATGGGGAGAAGGATGTGATTCCAGTCGTCCTTTTAGGCAAAGTGCTAATCGAAGCACACAGTGCGCATTGCTCCCTCTGTCTCCAGTTTATCCTTTTTGCTATCACAGAATTCCACTTTGGGGGAGGGAGCAGAAAAATAATTTTCCAGCTTCCCTCGTTTCTGGGCTTTTCATGACACAATTCTGGTCAATGAGATGTAAGTGGATGTCTGTTGATTGTTTCTAGGAAAGCTTTTGTCTTCCTGATAAAAGGGGGAAAGGACACCATTGGCAGAGCTCTGTTCCTTCTTCCTGTCTTGAATGTAGACGTGCTGGCCAGGGGTGTCCCCTGGACCCATTAGGCAACAAGTTAACACGCTACAGAGAAAACATTAGATGACATGTTGAGTCACTGCCCCAGTCTTGAACTGCCTCCCTCTGAGACGCTTATTATGTGAGAAAATAACTGGCTTCTCTGTTAGATGCAGCTAACAGTTGTCATTCATTTTAGCACTGAACGTCCGAGCCCCTCTGTGTTTAGAAGATTCCCCAGACTATGACTGACAGTGCTAACAGGCCTGTGACACAGGTGCCACCAATTAGTCTCAGAGCTACTACAAGCAACCAACCAGGGAGTCTTTGCTGAGAGGCAGCCACTGCACACATTTTCAGAGCGCCTGTGTGTTGAAGTGTAGTGGCCGTTGTGAAGATCACTTTAATTTCAACAGTGATTGTATTATTCTTGAACGTGGGTAAAATATGTAATTCCAAGATTCCTACTTTACTTTAAAAACTTGGACTGATATGGAATGGGAGTAACTGACCTGCAACATTCTGAGGAAATTAATTTGATTAAAACTAGAGGGGGCCGGCCCTGTGGCCAAGTGGTTAAGTTCATGCTCCACTTCAGTGGCCCAGGGTTCATCGGTTGGGATCCTCGGCGAAGACCTACGCATTACTCATCAAGCCATGCTGTGGCAGCATCCCACACAGAAGAACTAGAATGACCTGCAACTAGGATATACGGCTATGTATTGCGGCTTTGGGGATAAAAAAAAAAAAACAGGAAGATTGGCAGATTATGTTAGCTCAGGGCCAATCTTCCCCACCAAAAAGTATACTTAAGACAAAAGGGGGCTGCCCCATGACCAATGATTAAGTTCACGTGCTCAGCTTCAGTGGCCCAGGGTTGGAAGGTTTGGATCCCTGGCGTGGACCTATGCACAACTCATCAAGCCATGCTGTGGCAGCATTCCACCTGGAGTTTCTAAAATGACTTACAACTAGGATATAGAAATATGTCATGGGGCTTTGGGAAGAGAGAAGAAAAACAGCAGGATTGGCAACAGATGTTAGCTCAGGGCCAATCTTCCTTACCAAAAAGTATACCTTAAAAAAAAAAAAGGAAAAAAGAAACGGTACCCTTGGGCCAAATGCAGCCTCCCTGACCCTGAAGTTAAAAAAAAAAAAAAGAAACAGAGAGCAAAAGTCCTTTTTAACACAGAATTATTACTTTTATTTTCTTGTCTATAGAAACATATTTTTTCTTCATGACATTCAATTCTTAATTTAAACACGTTGTAAGAATATTGTCTTATACTTGATGAGATTATATTTTAAAAACTAAATTTGAAAGCTTTAGATATTTTCAATTGTTACAATGTCATATAATTGTTATATGTATGCACATTTAAAATATCTACATATTGAAATATTTAAAATTAATTATTTAAAGTGTATATATAGTAGAGAGGAAGAACTGATAGCTTAGAAGAGAAATGATCTTTGAATCACAGTCTGTTTTCAACCTGATGCACTAAAAAGTTATTACGTGCCCTTTGTCTATTCTACCCGATGGTAGGGAGTTATTATCTCACTTAACGTACATGAGTAATCTCAATTGTAAGCAAATTAATAGAATGACAAAACAGAATTAATAGAATGATAGGAGATTCCTCACTTCTAGAAAAAGCTGAAAATGCTGAGTGGTTGTTATGTTACCTTCTGCTATGCTGTCTACAGGACTGTTAGTCTGATTAATAACATAGCCAACACTCTGACCCTTTCTCATCCTCAGACACCTGTACTCACATAGAGCAACAGCTCTTTGATGTTGCTGTTTTCTGATATTGTGCCCCAAATTCAGAAGAATAAAATTGGCCTTGTGTCTTTTTCTCAGCTAGGTAACACTAAAGGTTTGCCACCCATCCCCACCAGCAAAACCCTTGACATAGCACTCTCAAGCATCAAAGGATGTTAAAAACATAGAGATAGGGGCCAGCCCAGTGGCATAACATTTAAATATGTGCACTCTGTTTCAGCCTCCTGGGGTTCACAGGTTTGGATCCCAGATGCGGACCTACAGACTGCTGGTCGTGCCACACTGTGGCAGCATCCCACACACAAAATAGAGGAAGATTGGCACAGATGTTAGCTCAGGGACAATCTTCCTCAAGCAAGAAGAGGAAGATTGGCAACAGATGTTACCTAAGGGACAATTTCCTCAGCAAAAAAAGAAAAAAGAGAATGAACATGCTTCATATTTTCTACATGTGCTCAATGATATTGTAAGAGCTGCCCTATTTATCGGGCCCATGTTGTAGGGTAAACTGATAAATAAGATTTAATCTCATTTTTGCATGGGTAACAGTTATCAATATGAAACCAAGCATGAAGAAGTTAAAATATCTTTCCTAGAGCAAAAAACTTTGAGAGAAGCTTTGCTAACTGCAGGTGTGCACATTCAGCATAATCAATTGTTGCTTCAAACCAACCAGGTCTTTGTATCCCTCCTTAGTATAGGAGTGAGCTGTCTTTCCCAGAAAGTCAAGGTCCAGACATCAAGACTCAGCCTCACAAGGCCAAATGCAGTCTGAAGATGAAAACTAACCAGAAAAGTTCAAACAGTCAAGGAAAGAGAAAGTCAGTCTTCAAGGTCAAACACAGGCTAGTGGAAAGGTGCCGCCTAGCACAGTCACATGCTACCCCTCCCCTCTTCAAACCCCAGCACACGCTCTCCCTCCCCTTTCTAAAACGGCTAGCTTTTTCCCCTCGAGGAGGTGGATCTGAGTTCTAACTCCGATCTCCTCCTCTGACTGCCTTTCAATAGTAAAGCTCTTTCCTTACCGCAAGCCTGGTGTTTCAGTTTTTTTTTTCTTTATTGGCCCTACTGAATGGCAGCCAAACAAACCTGTGTTTGGGTTTGGTAACAAATATGAATAAGTTTTCAGTAATTTGGATTCTCTAGCAGAGTGGGGAAAATCATACTCGAATTCAAGTGCACTGCCAACACAAAGGCTGTCCATGAGTGGGCTTCTAAGAATACTTTATTCCTTGGTTTAAAACACATGCCAATTGGAAGCAATGTGGCACATAGTTTACATACAGATTAGTCTGTATTTCCACTGTTCATTAATCCATTTTCCCCTCAGGTTAATTATCAGTGAAGTCTTCCTGGAATAATTGTGTGGACCCATGCACTTATGTACCTCACCCTAATAGAGATTCCACTCTCCTCCATTCTGACAATGTTAGCTACTCTAATAAGTTGACCTGCCTGGCCTCAACACATGGTTTCTCTGCTCCCTTCATTTTTGACTAAAGGTCACTGCTAGAAGCTACAGACCAGAGACTGGGTCTTCCAGAAGAAACATCAGACACGGAAAGCCTGAGAAAAGGATATAGGGAACAGACCTGTGTTTACAACATTCCTCAAAGAAGGTGATGTGAGCCCCAGAGCAGACAGGGGGACCTGAAACTCGAGACTCCAGGACTACAGGGTCTGCAAAAAGATGACTTTAGGAACATAGACTGTTGAGCCAGGGTTGACAGAATGAGAATTCATGACATGTGACTTATTAACACTGATGAGAGAAATCTCATGATGGCTATTTGTTTCAGAATTTGTGGCTATTTGTTTCAGAATAGTGTTGATCAATTTTAATGGTTTTTTTTTTCTGTTGAGCATACAGCAAGGTCCCTTTTTATGCTTTCTGTTCCATCTCCCAAAGTCTGACCTTATGCAGGCTACAACCATGACTATGACAAAGGTCAAAATTATCTGATTATTGGT